AAGGCCAAGGGCCAGGACTGTAGCTGTTGCTATGATGTTAATGTAGTGGGGGCTCCTAATTATAGGCCTGGTGGAAGAGCTCCATCTTGCAGGCCCTGCGGAATTGTGAAAGATCCCACAGGCCCCTGATCTCCCCCAGGAGCTCATTCCACCAGGATGGAGCCGCCACTGAAAAGGCCCTGGCCATGGTAGTTGCAAGCCTGACATCTTTTGGGCCCAGGAGGGTCAATCGGTTTTGTGACCCACACCGTGTGTGTTTGTATATATATAAAATAAACAATATATTATTTAGAATTTTAGTAGTAGTGTAAAAGTGAAGGAGGGAAATTTTTTTAAGGTGGAATAGATATAACAAGTTAAATAATAGTTAAAATGGAATTAAGGATATGAAATTTAAGACAAAGAAACAGATTTTACAAGATTATTTTATATTTAATTGTATAGAAGCATAAAACCATGTAAAATGATTTAATATGACTAAACTTAAAAGTGGAAGAAATATGTGATGTAAGAGATTTGTATGTATCTTAAAGATAAGTATTATTAGCACTTATATGGAAGCTTTATAAGAAAAGTGAAGCTGAATTTAGTAAAAGGTAAAGAGTCTTACTCCCACATTGAAACTATTTAAGAACAATCCTCAATTATAGAAAATAAAAGGCTGGAAAGAAGGAGAGAAAAGGGAGATGAGGGAGAACAATTTAAGGTGGAATGGCTAAAGCAAGGAAAAGTTTAAAAGTGATTCAAAAATAAATGTTAATAATAATTATATGGAATTTAGCATGGCTGTATTAAAAACATTAATAGTATTTTATAGCAATTTGTATAAGAAATGTGAAGTTGAACCCTAGTATTAGAACTGTTATGTTTAAGGTGAACATATAATTTTTAGAATGCTTAGGTTTTAGACTGGTAAGCATATATTATTTCAGAAAACTTTAAAGATAAACATCATCAACATTAGAAATGGGAAATTAGTTTGTATCAGACATTTAGGAAAACTTTGGAGTAGCTAATTATAAGTAGTAGAATATTAAGGATTTATACATATATGTGTGGAGATTAACTAAGTGATATAAGAGGTGTGATTAAGAGAGTCCATAGATAAGAAAGTAAAATATACTAGGTTAATAAGAAGTTATAGAATACTTTTATGATGTAAAGACAATAACTTGATATTTTGCAGATGTATGGACTTAAGGGACTAGACTTATATGAAGAATTACCAAACTGCATAAGTAGAAATATTGTTACAATGTAACAGAATAGGTAGAAACTACTGTAAACATCATTTTTCTTTTGTACCCCTTTCCCCTTCTTTTACCCTTCCCCCTATTTCCCCCTCTTTTTAAAAAAAAACCAATAAAATTTTACTATAAAAAAATTACAAACCTATCTCCTTGTTGAATTGCGATTATAAAATATTTGCAACTATCTTGCCTGCAAGGTTGAAAAAAAATCTAATAGACTTTATACATCAAGACCAGGCTGGTTTCTTACGTAAAAGACAGCTGAAGAATAATGTGAGAACAGTTTTAAATATACTAGAATGTTATGAAGTGCATCCAGAAAATAGATGGCTTTAATATTCTTGGATGCTGAAAAAGCATTTGACAATGTCAACTGGCAATTTATTATTCAACAGATGAAAATAATGAACTTTGGGACCAACTTTATAAAGGCTATTGAAACTATATATACAAAGCAGAAAGCGAAAATAGTAGTAAATAATGAACTGACACAGAATATATGGATTGAAAAAGGGACAAGACAAGGTTGTCCAATATCTCCACTGTTGTTTATATTAACATTGGAAGTGCTGACAAGAAGAGAAGACTCCCGCATTAAAGGGACATCAATAAGAGGAAATAAATATAAATTATAAGCCTTTGCTGATGATTTGGTATTTATCTTAGAAGACCAAATAGATTTGATACAACAACTAATGAATCAGATTAATGAATATGGGAAAATGGCGGGAATGAAAATAAATGATCAGAAGACTAAAATGATTACGAAAAACATGACATCGAAACAGAGATGTGAAATAGCAGAACTAAATGGATTTCAACTGGAAAATAAAGTCAAATACTTGGGTATTAATATTACAGCAAAATGTAGCTCTCTGATGAAAGACAACTATAATAAAATATTACAAGACATTAAAAAAGACTTAGAGAAATGGATAAAGCTCCAAGTATCACTAATGGGTAGAACAGCATTCTTAAAAATGAGTATTCTACCACGTTTAATGTTCTTGTTCCAGACCTTGCCGATATATATTAAACAAAACTTTTTTGATGAACTAAATAACAACACTTTATATGGCAAGGGAAAAAAACAAGAATTAAATTGAAAGCCTTGCAGGATGCAAAAGATAATGCTCGATTTGGAGTACCAGACTGGAAGAATTACTATAGGGCAGCAAACTTGGTTTGCCTGGATCTTACTTGAAGACCATAGGCTGCTGACTTTAGAAGGACCCAATTAAAAACTGGGATGGCACACTTTCTTATGGTGCGGCAAAGCTTCTGGACACACATATTTTAAAAATCATATGATAAGATCATTATTGACAACCTGGGAAAAGATCCGTCCAATGATATATACTAAAATTCCAAGATGAGCCTTTTCTCAACCAGTATTGACTTCAAAGCAAACAGTTAACAGATACGCAGAATTGCTAGACGATAGAAACAATCTAAAGTCTCAGGAAGAATTAAAGAAAAGGGAAATAAATTTAGATTGGTGGACCAGAGTACAAGTGGAATCTAGATATAGTAAGGATAAACAGACATATGGATTTTACTTAGAACAAGATGCATTTTGAACAATTATTATGTACTTCGAGAGAGAAACTTATTAAGAAAATGTATGGTATGCTGATGCAATTGAAAATGCAGGATGAAAATGCAGGATGAATACATTCAAGAATGTATGACTGAATGGATGCAAAATGTAAGCTATAACACAGATTTTTCACAAGGGAGTAAAATATGGAATGTGAATATCAAGTTGACCAAATTGGTTGCACTTAAAGAAAATTTGTATAAAATGTTCTATAGATAGCATCTAACCCCAGATAGGTTAGCTAAAATGTATAAAAAATTGATTAACAAATGTTGGAAATGTAATAATCATGTTGGATCATACTATCATATGCGGTGGACATGTAAAACGGTTCATAAATACTGGATTGGAGTACATACTTTCTTACAATCAGTGTTGAATATTACAATAGTTTTTAAACCAGAAGTATTCTTGTTAAACTGTCTATCAGATGACTTAGATAAGAACCATAGATATTTAATTTTACATGTTATAACAGCAGTCAGAATCTTATTCGCAATGACATGGAGGACATTGAAAATCCCAATGCTTAATGAGTTTATTTATGTATTTATTTTGGCTGATAGACAGTTGATAACGAAGATTATGGAATGCGCTGAAATGGACAGATCGACAAATATACTAAAAGGAAAAATGGAAGAAGAATTTATGGGACCATGGAGGGCATTTTATGACTGGTTAAAACATAAGTACTAAGAAACTAAGACTAAATGAAGAACAATAACACAGATGGTTATAATAGTTGTGAAACTTTCAAGAGAAGTTGGCATGTAGAATGCTAATTTGGAATTTTGTATACAACTCTGTACTCTTCCCCCCCTTCTTTTCCCTTCCCCCCTTTCTATATATAAACTAATAAAACTCCATTAAAAAAATTCTCCAGAATGGTGACATTCAACAAAAGAGATAACAATATTTGCTGATTATTTTCAAACTTTATACTCCTCCAAAAATCCATCTTTAGACTCCATCATTAACTACCCGCTTTCAAACACACACATCAAAACACACACATCCGGGATACAGCGGTATAGAAATCGAAAGTTAAATAAATTAAAATAAAAAAACTAACGGATGTCCATCGCTCTCTCCTAACCAGACCTATCAAGAAAGAAGAACTCTTACAGGTCATCAAGTCCTTTAAAAATAACAAATCTGCAGGTCCAGATGGCTATCCGCCAGAATTCTACAAAAAAATTGCCCCCATCCTAGCTCCTCTATTGACAGACACCTACAATGAGATCTTAATGTTACGTGCTTAATAGACATACTGCTAAACTATGACCTAGCACCGAAACTGTTCCTGGAACAAAAACGAAACCATAATATCCTGTGGTTCTTCTACCTCCAACGGAGACATTTGACGAATTGCATACATCTCTCCACTGTTCTACATTCACCTCCTACAAACTTCAAAAAGCTACTCAAAACAATCGGGATCCCATGGCCTTATTAAGAAAATATATCACATATTACTCCAACACGGCCCCATGAATCAAATAGCTTGGTCCCGTGACTGCAAGATTGACTTCAATGACAGTCAATGGTCCGCGATCTGGTGCACCTCTCTTACCTCCTCATCTTCAGCACACGTCCATTTACAATCATACAAGATTTTATCTAGATGATACATCACCCTACAACAGCTAGCACATCTCTCTTCTTCCAACTCTGCACTTTGTTGGAAAGGTTGTGGAGATGTCGGATCATTCGCCCAATGCTGGTGGCAAGGCCCTCATGTACGAGAATACTGGACCCAAAGTCTCCTACACATCTCAAGAATCACAGGTCACTCACTTGTGCTGGCCCCTGAGATGCTTTTATTACATCTAGAATGCGACCTCTCAATTCCCAAGCTTAGGTGGGAACTCATGCATAGTCTCCTAACAGCTGCACATACAATACTGGCAAAGCATTGGAAGTCTCATACACTACCTTCCATAAATGATTGGTATATGAAGATCTGGGGCCACTTAGTAATGGAAAAAATTACAGATCGACTACTCCAATCAGACATTTATCCCAGGAAAACATTGTTTGTTGAGAAATGGCTCCCCTTTTTCGACTACATCTCTATGGAAGATCTCACACCTCCAAATCCAACATATCACAAGTGATATCAGATGTTATAATTGTTAAAAAGTTTTAACTTGCTCACTACGATGGTCTTTATTTATGTATATTAAATGTTCCTTCACAACTTCATAATTGTGTTGCATTTCATGTATCATACAAATTGTATCTTCTTTATAATATTGGGGGGGAGAGAGATAAGCAGATTTGGGAAAGATCATATTGTGGATGGCAAAGGACACTGGGAATAAAATTAGACCACATTTTCAAGTGAATACTCCAGAACAAGTAAGGTTACCAGGTCCCCTCATTGCTCCAGCAGGGGGATTTGGGGGGCATTCCAGGGGTGGGACACCCCCACCCCAAGGGTCTTTTAGTGAGCTGAGTGTGCAGCTCATAACCACCCCTCTCCCTCCCCTCTTGCTAGATGTAAAAGGCCCTCCAGCTGATCAGTGGCCCACATGGTCCCCACTGATCTGCTGAAGCCCTTTAAATCTGGCAGGAGGAGAGGGGTGGCCGGGTGGGTGGCTGCTCTTGGGGGCAGGGGTTCCCCTCCTGGCCAGCTGGCCGGGAGCAGATTGGAGCCCCCAAAAGCGGGGGAACTCCTGCCTGGACCTGGGGGCTGGCAACCCTAAAAACAAGTCTCCACGGTTTGGTAGCCAAAGCAGAGAAAAATGTACATGTGGAAGCAGCCTACTTCAAAATGTCATGTACTGCCACTTCTAGACATTGGCCCTTATCCCTGAAGACACACACTTACGCATTTTTGCCTTCTCTTTCTACTTGAACTACACTAAGTCAGTCAGACAGCAGTTACTATCTGTTTGTTATGCTATAGTTTGGCCTCTTTGCAAGCAATAAAACTTTTCATTTTGCAAAGAGGCAACCACACATTATCAGGCTTTTTACCTTCAGTGACATTTACCTTCAGTAACCATTACTGTCCATTTTTCTGTCAGGTATTAAGAAAGGAAGGCCCTGCAATAGTTTATCATTACTGCTAATGAATCCTAAGAAAGAAGCATCAAGATTCACTAGTTTATCTTCCCGTGAGAGTCCACAACTCAAAGACACAAAAAACATTTTATCTCTAATGACAGCAATTTATAGTTGAAAGCCATGGAGTAAAAACTAGAGTCTCTTTTCAAAGCAGAATCTGCTTTTTAGATGCTTCTCATCTTGCAAGTTTAGGTTCAAATAATGGAATGGAGTCAAACAAAAGTAAAACATTTTTCAGTTTGCAAAAGTTCGCTTACCCTTTTTTCTTGGGCCCACTGATGACTGATTTTATCCCACTAGAAAAAGAAGCTGGCATGTCTTGATTTGATGTATCTTCTATGCTAGCCTGTGACTGATCTTTGGGTTTTCCTCCTGCTCCCAGGTCAGAGGACGAATCTTAAAAGAAGAGAAGTACTTTTTAAGAATTAAAAGGGACAAAAATAGACTACCTAAATAGTCCATAACTAACTGAAGATTTAAAAATAGATTCAGATAGGTAGCCGTGTTGGTCTGAAGCAACAGAACAAAGTTTGAGTCCCTCCATTAAGACCAACAAAGTTTAATTTTGGGTATAAGCTTTTGTGTGCCTGAACACTTCATATCTGAGGAAGTCTGCATGCACATGAAAGCTTATACCGAGAATTAAACTTTGTTGGTCTGAAAGGTGCCACTGGACTCGAACCTTGTTCTAAAGAAACCAACTGTCCTGAACCCAACAGCAGCACACCATTTACTTGTACATGCTGACAGCAGTGTCCCCTCTAAGCTGAGTTAGTGTGAGCTACCTCACAGTTTTTTAGCCTCTGGCTCCAGAGCACACTAATTTATGCAGCAGCCAAATCAGTCGCTCACATAGCTAACAAAGTAGAATTTTTGCTCACAAGACAGCACAGCTTAGAGGGAGCATTGGCTGAGAGCATTATTCAGTACATCAGTCTAGAACAGGGGTGTCAAACTTAAGGCCTGTGGGCCGTAAGCGGCCCACCCATGGCTTTAATCAGGACCACAGCTCTTTTCTCCCCCCCCCCCCCCGTCCTCACCCTTTGAAGCTTCAGGCTGCCAAAGTTCCCAGCTCCCTCCATCTTGTCTTTGCCTGCTTCGGCAGGAAGCTCTTCTGGGCTTGCAAAGTTACAAAGAAAATACAGAATGGATTTTTCAATTAAGAAGAAGAAGAGGAGATTGGATTTATACCCCGCCCTTCACTACCCAAGGGCGTCTCAGAGCGGCTTACAAACTCCTTTCCCTTCCCCTCCCCACAACAAACACCCTGTGAGGTAGGTGGGGCTGAGAGAGCTCTTGACAGAAACTCCTCTTTTTCAAGAACAGCTCTTATCATAACTACGGCTTGCCCAAGGTCATCCAGCCAGGTGCAAGTGGAGGAGTGGGGAATCAAACCCGGTTTTCCCAAATTAGAGTCCGCGCACTTAACCACTACACCAAACTGGCTCTCTTAAGGTCTCTGCACCCAG